GTTTCCCATCGTTAAACCAATAACCAGAGGAGGAGGGGGGAGGGGGAGGGGAGGAGGGAAATCGCCTAACATGCTTGGCCGATAGCCAAATCCGGCGCTATTAAAGACGTCCGTTAATGCGTGTCGGACCATAAAGTTCCAAATACAGGTGGTAAATCAGCCAGCGGAGGCAGTAAACAGCGCGGAGAGGGGCGGGGAGGGGTTAGAAGGGAGAGAAGAAAAATGAGGAAAGGTCGTGATAGGAGAATATCTCGGTGCGTTTCCATCCGCGTGTCTCGAAGCGCAAAGGCCCCCTCCCATTACTTGTGTCCACAATGTCGAGATATTAACCTGCTTCGGCTGAATGCCCACGGTTCGCCGGTGTCTACCTCGGTTCGGCGAGCTCCGGTTCGCCGAACGACCGGTAACTACGAGGAGGAGGAGGAAGAGGAGGGAGCAGAAAGGTATACGAGAAACGACCGCACTTTGCTTCACCTTGCGCATCGCGTCGTCGTCGTCCTCGTCGTCCTCGTCGTCCTCGTCGTCGTGCGCAGTCCGCGAAGCTGTGCCACTTGTCCTGGAATTTCTCAGGGACAAGTAGCGTCCGCGACTCGAGTCGCTCGCCTTCCGCGTTCAGCGAATACGACGAAACTCTGCCGAACGTGCACTTTGATGACGAAGGATAAGAAAGTGCAGGATTGATTTCGGTACGTTGCGTTTGATCAGACAGAAGATAATCCAACGACGAGCGGAAACTCTCGTCTTTCCGTCTATTCTCGATAATTTCATTTCTGAGAGCTACCCCCTTTCGCGAGCAAGCAAACAAACATCGCTCAATTTCTCTGTTGCTTGCATTATTCTCAGTACACGTCTCCCCTCACATTCAGAAAGGAGGATCGTATTTTCCAGCAAATCGAGGAATAACCGTGCAACGGTATCGTCCCCCGGTGCTACATCTCGCGAACCGTTTGTCGAGCGAAACTTCCTCAAAATCTACACCGTATCGTTGGCGATACTCTCGCCCTGTCTCACGATTCTCATAAACAAACTCGTGGTCGTGGCGGCGAGTCGCCTTCCGTATCGGAGGGACGAGTTCTCGAATTCTGCAAACGTAGCGCGCTAGCGGGGGAATAAATAAGAGCGACCTGCGGCAATTCGAGCAATTCCAGCCACGTGCACGGATCGAAGAAGAAAGAGGCGACGCGAAAGAGTCCCCCTCCGATGCCCGATGCTCGATGCTCGATGCTCGATGCTCGATGCTCGATGCAACCGACTGCGATCGGCTCTCTCTCGGTGCTTCTGGCTGAGAGACACGCTCGGCTCGCTCGCCGAAAGGGGAACGCGAGCTCGAACTCCGATGCGTGAACTCCGCGTGCCACGTGGGATGCGGAAAAATACCGGCCACTTTATTGGAATTCACTTTGTGTTACCGCACGCGGTTAGCGATACCGATAACGATCGTTCCGCTGTGTCGACGTGTGCCTTTGAAGCCGCTGATTTCCCCTTTCCCCTCCGCCGCTTGTCCGATCGCTGTGTAATGAATTGTAATACAATGTGGATTATCGGTATGTGAATCGCCGGGAGGGGAACGGCGGGGGGAAGACATCATCGACGGATCTATTATCGGGGAAAAGGCGAGAGTGAAACATGTATCGCGCGCATAGGCGGTGTGGATTTTCTTTACTCTGCGTTACATTGCGATGCCTGTAATCGATACTGTTCCGCTTTCTTCGGCTGCAAGTGGGTGATGTGTATATTTCTGATAGACAACGAAGTTACAAGCACTCGTCTCGGAGTTGAATATCGATCCCTCGAGAATTTCGTTCTTTGACTCGACAGATTTGAATTTGAAAACTCGCATCCACTCCGATATCATGGTATCGCAAACTTTAAAAAAAAGTCGTAGTTTCTCATCTACCGATCTTACTCTTGCACGAAAGTCCGCTCGAAATACCTGATGAGAACGTGGATGCATCATAACCAAAGCTCGCGTAGGCCTGGTCGCGCGTACTTGTACGTACGTACAATAACTTTCAAGCTATCGGAGACGGAAGATTGCGTCATTCGAGCAGAGATGATCGTCCAATTACCTTAAACAGTACGTAAACTGTTGGCGCGGAAAACGTTCGGCCAGAAAATTCATCCTCCGCTCCGTCTCACGACCCCGTACGACGACGCCGTAGTACTTTCTAACGGACGGGAGAATTAACGCGAGCATAACGGCGGTACATGCCGTTCGATCTTGGTTATTTTCTGCCGGGTTATCGATCCCTCTCGAGTTCGAAACGATACACGGCGATACACAGTGTACGCGGGTGCACATAGTACGACAATGAGTGTACACGCGGCCCACGCGAACGCGCGCGACTAGGCTTTCGCAACGCTGTCGATAATAAGGATAATAATTCGATTTTATTGCCCACCTTTGCCCTTCTCTTACTCTCTTTTCTCTCCGTGGAGAGACATTTTCTAGCGTGGCTCGACCCGCCCCTCCTCGCAGCCGTCGCACAA